ACTGGAATATTTGGTTAAATTCAGAACAGATGATTTTTGGGTCTACCGGTCTGCAGATCAAATATGGCAGACCATAAATAAAAGCAAGACTGCTTAATCTTTTAAGGTCTCACCACCTCCATAAAGATTAAATTTATGGCTTCGAGGTTTAATTGTTAATAGCCCCTTCAGGTAAGTCACGTGTGGAGGCGGGGAGACCATTAAGGGATTAGGTGGTCTTGCTTTCATGTAGGGTCCGCCATATTTGATCCACGGACCAGTAGATCCGCGGATCATCTGTTGAGAATGCAACCTTTATGTAACTGAAATACATTTTTCAGACCCCTAATCCGAGGTCACTAAATATTCTGTTTTTGACTTTTTGCTAATGGGATAAATGTAAACATAACTTCAACATCAATTGAGGATATAGCTTATGATATAAAGGAAAACCTATTCCATCACAAACTACAGGGCAGCGGGTTCTGCATTGATCTGTGTTTCTCTTTCCTGCTCTCCAGGATTATCTCCGTCACGCAGTGTTGACACAGGGCTTCTAAGTACTTCCTTTTACTTCTGCTATTGATTGACCACTTTTGTTATCATCTGTTAGCCTTAAGGAGAGTCCGCTTTGTTTTGATGGTACTGAGAACATTGCAGAATTGTTCTGAAGTAAGATTGGTCTATTTACATAATGCATGGTGTTGATTGCATTAGGCCATGTTGGGTCCACAGCAAGAGATCAAGCAATCAACAATATCCAGTCTCAGTTGGACTTACATACTGTCCAATTTACAAAATATATCCTGTTTTTATTTCATCTGAGGATGTAATTAACGTGCTCTCTCTCCATCTTCCTATTACCTGTCAAACAACTGACAATTCTCCTCAATTAAAGACGGAAATTAATGTTTTCATTGTAAAGGTTTTTTTAATTTATTAGTTCTGCAAATGCTATTTAAATGTGCTTTAGTTATTGCTTGGGATATGTTCAAATAATAAAAACAAAACTACTTCATGTAAATAAGCAATCATTATGATAATCATAACAGAACTGGGCTGGCATACTTGCATTCCGCCCTGTTATGTCGATAAGGAAATCAATGAGACTGAATTTATATTCTCTGACACGAAATGCATTCTCTTCACTCCCACACAGAGCACAAATGCTAAGAAAATGAGAAATCGATTCTCACGATTCCCAAGATCATAAATAATGTTGAGGGCTTATATTTATGACATAAGTCCTCTGCGTCTGGTAGAAGTACCAACACGGAAAGAGTTTCACAGAAATGATTCCTTCATCTGTTTACTGAACCGAAATTCAAGTCACGCTGCGCACCAAAAATCAATTCTGACTATGCCTGCTGGATAGAAACCATCCTTAACAGTTTTGGTAAACTTAATGGCATAGCTGAAGAATTATTTTTGTATTGTGTGCATTGAATTTATACTATAATTCCTATTATAATTATTAAAGAGATGAAATTGCTGCAGTGTCCAAGATTTTTTTATCTGAAAACAGCCATATACATATATATATATATATATATATATATATATATATATATATTATCTACTTGTAAGACTCACAGTTCAGAGATCTAGAGAAACCTTGAAAAGAAACCCCATCAATACAAGTTGTGGCCAACAAATTAAGCTGTAGTTGTAAGGATTGCCAGGAAGAATGGACCGGATTACACAAGTCTGTGAGCAACAGTCCAAACACTGGGACTGGCATCCATTGGGGTAATATTCTAATCACATTTTATTTTGATTTTATGATATACAGTTCTCCACAATTCCATTTTCCTTAACATGACAACCCTTTTTGCAACCCTCAAAAGCCACGCCAAAAACATTCACAGAAATTTCTCAAAATTAGTCAAAACTGAGGCAAGGGAACTTAATATCAACTCAATCTGTATTATCTAACATTCAAACTCATCAATCATGTCAATTAGCTTAACTTTGGAAGAGCAATTATGCCACAGCGAATGTCATGAGCAAACAAGCCAGACTAGGTGTGTCTGGTATAAACCCACATCATACAATAATTAGCAAGATAGTTTCCACATTTGGGTGTACAGTTGTCAACATGCGCCATGCCATGGTACCCTGTGAAAGTCAGCTATACCACTGGTCAGTTTGGTGACTACTGCTAGTATAAACATATATTTGGCGTTTTTGCATAACCCACCTTATGTCATAGTGATTACCAGTATATTTTCAGCTTCTCTCTCTCTCTCTCTCTCTCTCTCTCTCTCTCTCTCTATATATATATATATATATATATATATATATATATATATATATATATATATATAAATAAAACAAGTATTCAGGAACATTCAGCTCATGACTCCAATCATCCAATTCAATAGCAGCTTACATAAACTGATTTCTAACATAACTGAGCTATTTCGAACATTTTAAATATCATAAATGAATGGAGCATTATTAGTGAAAGGAATCTGACTGTTTTATACCAAAGGCCACTTCCTACTATCCATCAAGCAAATGATTAATGTACTGGCAGCACAAATGAAGAGCAAAGCATGCTGAAGTATCATGTGGACACCATTATATCATTATTATTATTAAGTACAATGCTCTTACTAATGGCCAATTAGTTCAAATCTCTAATTAATGGCCAATTAATACAATCCTCTACTAGTAATTTTCATTCACTCACACACCAGCGAAAATACTACTCTCAGAATATAACATCACGTAATTATCATGCAATCCTCTTTGGCTACACAACTGCTAATCAATATAATTATAATTCTTGATATCTAAGCAGTGCATACTACCATTTTCCATTTGGCTCATGTAATTCAGATTTGCAAGCAATTTCCCTAGAGTCATACTTTTGCATGAATCAATTTTGTGTTAATTCTGCTCTTAAGTGATTAGTTTATTTGCAGATTGTATAATAAATATGACTGCAATCAAATTAGTGCTCGGCCATGTAATTTGTTTTTAATCTCTGTTTTCTCTATAATCCAATCTAATGCAAACATATTCACATATTTTCGTTTCTACTTGAAAGAAAAAGCAAAGAATATGCAGGGTTTTTGTTTTTTTTTTTTCAATCGCTCTTACCAGTAAATAAACTTTATTGTGGAGTCATGGAAAGTCACAAATTATACCTTTTTCCTTTTTTTGTATTAATTAAAGAATATAATTTACTCTGCTTTTCATACATGGCCTTTGAAAGTGGACACACTTTAAACTTGCAAAAATTTCATTTATGATGTGTTATTTACTTTTTAATTGCAATTATTGATAATATCAAGAAATTGACTCTCGGGGACTTTTTATTCGGGTTGATTTTGGACATTTTTGGAAGAGTATAGTAAACACCAACAACTCACCGTAGTATGAGACCAGTAGGAGTAGTCATAGTTATATCTCTTGGTCTTCTGTTCCTTAGGACCTGCTTTGGGATTGGTAATGGCTACAATGGAAAAACATACCTATATCATTATCAGTGGCTAAATATATCAAGTTTATATCTATGGTAATCAATATAACAGCAATGGCAAAATATAATAACACTTTATCAATGGCAATTTTTTTTTTTCTGAAAGGACATCGCCTACTTATAAGAGAAGTAATAATAAATAGACTGGTACTTACGCAGATGCAATTTTAAGTTTTCATCATTTCTGAGAATTGCGTGGTTTGTAGTTAAACACTGATCACTATCAGCACCACATCGTGGCACAAATAATTAACCTTATCATTAACTTTGGAGGTGAGGGGGATGTATAGTGATGAACGAGTTGAGTACTGGAGTGGGTGACATTACTGGCGATGATAACCAGATTGCATGAGGGCACATCTAGCAAAACATCAGGCATGTTGCAAACTGTAATTTTTTTATATTTTTATTCATTTTTTATTTATTTATTTATCTTTTAAATTCATTATTATTATTATTTATTTTTTATTTTTCTATTTATTTATTTATTTATTTATTTACTTACTCTCAAATTATTTTTATATTAAACTAGCATGTAATATCTCTGAATCACAAACATCCAANCTGAGCTATTTCGAACATTTTAAATATCATAAATGAATGGAGCATTATTAGTGAAAGGAATCTGACTGTTTTATACCAAAGGCCACTTCCTACTATCCATCAAGCAAATGATTAATGTACTGGCAGCACAAATGAAGAGCAAAGCATGCTGAAGTATCATGTGGACACCATTATATCATTATTATTATTAAGTACAATGCTCTTACTAATGGCCAATTAGTTCAAATCTCTAATTAATGGCCAATTAATACAATCCTCTACTAGTAATTTTCATTCACTCACACACCAGCGAAAATACTACTCTCAGAATATAACATCACGTAATTATCATGCAATCCTCTTTGGCTACACAACTGCTAATCAATATAATTATAATTCTTGATATCTAAGCAGTGCATACTACCATTTTCCATTTGGCTCATGTAATTCAGATTTGCAAGCAATTTCCCTAGAGTCATACTTTTGCATGAATCAATTTTGTGTTAATTCTGCTCTTAAGTGATTAGTTTATTTGCAGATTGTATAATAAATATGACTGCAATCAAATTAGTGCTCGGCCATGTAATTTGTTTTTAATCTCTGTTTTCTCTATAATCCAATCTAATGCAAACATATTCACATATTTTCGTTTCTACTTGAAAGAAAAAGCAAAGAATATGCAGGGTTTTTGTTTTTTTTTTTTCAATCGCTCTTACCAGTAAATAAACTTTATTGTGGAGTCATGGAAAGTCACAAATTATACCTTTTTCCTTTTTTTGTATTAATTAAAGAATATAATTTACTCTGCTTTTCATACATGGCCTTTGAAAGTGGACACACTTTAAACTTGCAAAAATTTCATTTATGATGTGTTATTTACTTTTTAATTGCAATTATTGATAATATCAAGAAATTGACTCTCGGGGACTTTTTATTCGGGTTGATTTTGGACATTTTTGGAAGAGTATAGTAAACACCAACAACTCACCGTAGTATGAGACCAGTAGGAGTAGTCATAGTTATATCTCTTGGTCTTCTGTTCCTTAGGACCTGCTTTGGGATTGGTAATGGCTACAATGGAAAAACATACCTATATCATTATCAGTGGCTAAATATATCAAGTTTATATCTATGGTAATCAATATAACAGCAATGGCAAAATATAATAACACTTTATCAATGGCAATTTTTTTTTTTCTGAAAGGACATCGCCTACTTATAAGAGAAGTAATAATAAATAGACTGGTACTTACGCAGATGCAATTTTAAGTTTTCATCATTTCTGAGAATTGCGTGGTTTGTAGTTAAACACTGATCACTATCAGCACCACATCGTGGCACAAATAATTAACCTTATCATTAACTTTGGAGGTGAGGGGGATGTATAGTGATGAACGAGTTGAGTACTGGAGTGGGTGACATTACTGGCGATGATAACCAGATTGCATGAGGGCACATCTAGCAAAACATCAGGCATGTTGCAAACTGTAATTTTTTTATATTTTTATTCATTTTTTATTTATTTATTTATCTTTTAAATTCATTATTATTATTATTTATTTTTTATTTTTCTATTTATTTATTTATTTATTTATTTATTTTTTAATTTAAGGGAAATTTGCTGCAATGTGGCTGCAAATTAGCAGCAAGAAATTTTTTCTAAGAAACTCATTGCTTCAAACTTCTCATTTTGCTAAGGGGTACACTGCATGATTCAAGGCTACGTTCTGGTCATTTTTTATCAAAATCTATTTTAGTCATGATTTTGGTATACTGCTAATTTTACTGGACACATACCAAGCAGCGTTCAGCCTGAAGGTAATGTGACATATTACAGTTTCATAACACTGAACCATTACAGCTACCCACATTTAGATTTGAAAAGCTGCTTCTGTCCCTTAAGAGCACAATGTACTTTAAAGGAATTTAATACATTCATGGGCTTCTGTTCCGCTATTTCATTACACACAACACATTAGGAACAGAACAATGTTCCAGGGAAAGCATCCTGCCTGAATAACCTGAATCTATTATTTAAGGACTTGTGGGAAAACTGCATCAATGGAAGTTTCTGAAAAAAGTGGGAGTTTTTAGAGCTTGAAGCAACTGATGTACAAAGATCAAATAAAATCTGCTCAATTGTCAGAGGTCACAGAGCCATTAGGGTTGAGACCATTAAATATGATGCTAAAAATAAAATCAATCTTTTTGCTGATTTTTATGGGAAATGGAAAACAGATATACAAGAAGACCCTTGGCGACTGAATGATAACATTATGATCATTTCTTGAAAGGAATTTGTGCTCTCCAGAATAACCACAGATATGATGACAGACTGGTTTGGATTTGAATGAAATTCAAACAAAATTTAAAAGAAACAAAATTCAATGTTCCTTGCCTAATAAAAAGATGGTAAGCCATAAGCTGATAAAGATATATAATGGTAAAAGCTGGATTGCATTGCTTTTATTACAGTTACCTTCAATCTACAAAAATATTTTTAAAATATCATTTCAGACTATTTTGGTCAATTATCACCAGCCCCTCAAGCCAATAAAGGATCAAATTGATAATAGTCCAATGGGCATTTGTTGGCATACGGCCAGCAGGTCAGTGGTAAATATGAGCACTGCAATTAAACGAACTTCATCAGAACAGTAAAGGAAAATCAACCTCGCTGTAATAGGATCGAATTAGTTACTATGGCAACCCAACTTCAAAATGTATGCTTTTTCGTCAGTTCATTTGTCACCGATATTGGCAACCCGTCAGTTAATTGAACATTCACACTGAGTTTTTCCATTTTGATTTCTTTGTAAATCAGGATGCTGGCATATCTAGTTACTTTTGTACACTTTTTATTCATGATTTACTGTGAATAGACGTCAACACTAATGTACTATTTCCTACAATAATGTTAGGCAAAACTATTGGTCACAGAACCAAGGTCAGCTGATGAAAAATATGTAAGAGTACGCCATCTCTCAAATGTAAAAAGTATGCCTCTTTAACTTATTTCAATAAACTTGTCGAAAAAAACAGAAAATATTTCAAACTTAAAGTCTAAATCATAAATTATTTTACTTATTTCAAATGCTTTTTTTTTTTTTTTTTGCTTATCCCTCCAATACTAAAATAATTCATTAATCATTAACTTCAATTTTAAATACCAACAAGATGGGCAGGGAGTAAAACCATGAGTACTGCCAGCATACCCACTGGTGGTACTAATTACATTCAATTTAGTAGGAACATCCCATTTATATGTAAAAGTTGCCATAGAGGAACAAAGGTGCTAGGGTCCATTTAAAAGAATACAATCTGGAAATTTAGGCTACACCCCTAAATCACTCGTCTTGATACCCCTAACTCCTGTATTTTTATCTTTTATAACTATATCAGCAGGTAAATTTCTGAATCGGTTGCTTTCAAACAGAGTTGGCTATGCATTAGTCATCAGTATAGATGTCATACTATCTTTTATCATACACAAATCTTAAGTAATAGTTTTTCTTTGGTATTAGCCGCAATCATTGGCTAACTTGAATATTTATTGCAACTTGAACAAATTTTTCACTCCTAAAGTGTCCAAATTTTGCATAGTCTGTGCCTAAAATGTATGCCATTACCACACCCTGACACCACTTTCACAAAAAAACTTCCAAGTCAGTTCCCCAACTTAGCTGACTTGGATTTCCATGAGAGTGCTGTTACACTGCTCCTGATAGGTTAAGATGTGCTCATGTAACCTTGGTAATTAAGTTCTTAGCCAGGGAACCCGTTGAAGTTTTTTTTGTGAAACTGGGGCCTGCTGTCAGCCATGTTGGGGCAGCGATGCTCACTTGTTGTGTAGCCGTCCATTTCTATGATGCACTGGGACTGGTGCGCTATCTCCCTGTTGTTGAACGGGCGAACCCGCACTGCAACCTTCACAGATGACATGGTCTGAAATTGGGGAAAAAATCTAATGTAGTTTGTAAATTACTAATTTCAAGATAAAAAGATATGTTGAATTGTTTCTGAGAACTACGTTATGTTTGTAATACCTGAAAAAATTGTCATGAGGAATTTCCAATTTCACAGTAAGGTGATTAAGACAGGGTTCCCACAGATTTGGATTGACCTAACTCCCTGGGGGTTCACGCTAAATTGCTGTCAGCTTCCGGGAGCCGAGCACTCACAAAAGTTTATTACCCCCTTACAGCTTTCAGTAGGCGGGACAGACATTTAAGCCAATTAAGCTGACAGCAATCTAATGAGACTCTACAGGGGGATAGATCGATCTAGATATCTGTGGGAATGGTCTCTAAGTTAAAATAGGTGTCCCTCTTAGTACTGAATTTAACTCTAATATATCAAGACATGGTAAGGAGGTAATAACATATGCAGTGCCCAAAAGTTGAAAGATATCTAGTATTCAAAAGCCAAATCCTCTCACTGTGACTCAGAACCATGGCCAAAGCATATATAACAAGTGAATCACAGCAAGTGGCACTTAGTCGAGTCACCTGACTTATACTTAACATTTCTTTTCTAGCATTTTTCATTCTGCCGAAGCCATTTCAAAAAAATTTTAAGCTTCAAAACAACAAATGGCATTTGCAAAATCATTCAACAGCGACTAAAATACTTTCCATCTTTAAAAATATCTTGAAGAAACCAATGAAAAAAGTTATATCATTATATGTAATATTACAGTGGATCAAACTGGAGTGTAAGTTTAAATCATTGGATTCTAGAAAATTTTCACCCTTACCTCAGTTTTGTGTGATAAAAATGTGCTCTTGTTGTGCTGAGTAAAAAGTGAAACTTTAAAATGAGTTGGAAACAATCTTCATGTTTTGGTCTTCATCTTGTTGCTTTCATTGTAACTGAAAGGAAAAGACAATTTTTTATCAAGTTTTATTTCTAACTAAATGTTTTTATAAGGAAAATTGATATCACGATGAAAGAATGAATGAATGAATGAATGGATATTATTTGTCTTTGTCTTAGCAAATTTGCATGTTTGAAGATTCAATTCTACAAGTGACTGCGCTTGTGTGACTGCACACGAGGGGTCTCTATAATTTAGTATATATGTGATACATGTATCAGTATTTTTACGAAAAAAAGACGTCATCGGCCTACAAAACATACACTGTACTTCACACACAGTTACAGTACACAGGAAGATCATAACAGAATAGAATTTGCATCCATCACCACCCATATATAACCTTTCAAATACCATACAAGATGGCCATCACTCCATTTTCATAATGAAAAAGGTGACAACTTTCCTTTAATACCTTGAAGTAATGAGAAGATGGCATGCTGTAAGGCGTGTATATATATATTCAGAAATGCCAGCGGGATTCAAATCATTCATCAAAACATGACATGTCACATGAACATGCTTTCACTTTGTAAGACGTAGGCAAAATGGAGTTCAATCTACTGAACATGTATCGGTAAATCATGGCTAATACGATGACTGGTGAAGGGTCTAGTATCCAGGAAACAAAAACATTAACAATATTTGGCAACAGACAACAGAACATAATTGGCATACTAGTAGTTACTTATTCAATCAATGTGTCTCTTCAGTCTTGTATATTTAATATAGAACATAATAATAATACAAAAGGTTGTGCCTTAATTAAGAGGGAAGTTGGTGTTAACTCAAGGACAAAACTTTCAGTGTACTCTGATCTACACTGAATATAGAGAAGCCGTATGAAATTAGTGTCACTCTTAGTCTTAAAACTAGAGCATTCCTACTTTTTTGTAAAAGAAAAATTCAAGTACATGTAGATACATAGTGATTTATTCTGTTTAAAATCCAAACCACAACCACTACCCAATCCCAACAGTTAAACAGTTTATCTGTCTCTATATATATTTGATTACTCTCACTATGTTACTGTCAGCATCTATCTCCATTCACATCCTCAATACATCACCTCCAATTTTCATAACTTTATGTTTTCTATCTCCATTCTCATCCTCAATACATCACCTCCAATTTTCATAACTTTATGTTTTCTATCTCCATTCTCATCCTCAATACATCACCTCCAATTTTCATAATTTTATGTTTGTAAACACAGTATCATTAAGTCAATAACACAATGGCAATCAACTGGCAAAAATGTCTAATACAAATAATTTACCACTCTGTCTTTGAGGTAAACGCTAATTGAGGACTTCATGTGTCTGGCTTCTTCTTAATTGAATAACAGCTGTCACATAATTGAACAGTACACGGAACGATTAAAATATGGTTAAGATTACAAAAGAAAGCGACCGTCTTGTATTCCTTTATATGTCTAGGAAAAAAAATGCTTAGTCAAAAAAAATTCATCTATCCTTTGGTAACCTGACTCTCATCTCTGTTTTCTTTACATAACTAATGAAATAACTGCTAAGTTCTTACCAATTTCATTGAAGGTCCCATCCATTGTAATTCTAGATCATTATAATAATTATTCCCACCTAATAATAGGCCAACAGAATGTCAAATGGCATTCCTCCTGACAGTAATCTGGATTAAAATATGATTCCTCTTAAAAAGCTTTTCATCGCCTCTTACCAGTTCCACAAATGAATCCATCCATTGTGCGTTAATTGACGTCTCTAATTACGTCCTATCCAGTTCAGCTACTTCACTCAATGGCCGACACTTAGATACTTATGTTGCAGTAAAGGTGAAAAAATTTCCTAACCAGCTGCCCGCTCTAGAAAACAGAAAAACACGTCATTCTGTGCCATTTCACCTCGGCCTAGACCACGTCATGAATATATTTCTGAGGATAATGTTATGCACATATACAGACTGTGGTAAGTCTTTGCCGAGAGTCTGAGAAGTTGCCCCACAGTATAAAAATCGACATTCTTAGCAGTCATCGTTATACATTCTTATTCAAGCTTAACTGAATTAAGGCGGTTTGCGGCAGTTTCCAGATATAAATGAAATGTACATATCATTTAATATGCTTAAGACTGCATGCATTGTGAAGCAGGGAAACAAATCGTGACTTTAATAGATTTCCTTCAACTTTTGATCAAGAATATATTTATATATAAATTTACTTAAATGAAGAGCTAAATGAAAAATTTTAAGCAATTTTCTTCCTTATGTTATCCATTTTTATCATAAAAATAAAGGGAACATTCCAAATGTTATGTGCCACTAAAATGAAATTTTTCATACTTTAAAAATAAAACCTACATGATGTGGCTTGTAAAATCATCATGCTATTTTATATTAGATTTAGGCTTCTGTTAAGAAATCAATTCACAGACTTTTGAGTGATTAAGTGTCCGTTTTCTACTGACATCAGTGAAATAATGACATTGTCCCTATGATTCACGCACAGGTCAAAATCATAACATTATCATAATGACATTATTATCAAAGTCTTCTAGTTGTTGGCATAAAAGCATGAATTATAAAATAGAGTTCATACATTTGTAATGTCAACACTTCACACTGCCACATACTGATGGGCACAGAGTTAGGTGTAACCTCAAATCACCCTCATTTTTGTATTCACGCACTGGTACACACCCAAACATGAACGCACACTTTTTGATTCATCAACAATTCTTTAACACACATGCACTGGTCCAGAAATTAGTACCAACTCACTCCCCCTGGGACAGGTAGGAATGACCCTCTAATGACCCATTCTCACTGCTTCTTTCTTTTCCTCCTTTGCATAAACCCAAATACTAGTACTAGTACAGTGTATTCCCCTCACTACTGAGTCCACTCTAACCCAGGCACCTTCCCCCACCCTCCCTTCACCCCCTCCCTCTCCCACATTTCAGTGTAATCAACCTTTATTGCCAAAACCCTCTCTCCTGGAAAATTTAATAGATAGTGGTACATGTACCATCCAAACACAGAGGCCCCTTGATGCTGTCACACAGCCAGGCAGCTAGCACAACCAAGAACACATTCCATGTCACAACTAACACAATCCACGACCAGGGCCACATTGTGATGACAGGGATGCTGAATGCTGTATTTTTTTGCAGTACAATAGGCCCCTGTGGCTTTATCATGGATGGGAAATATTTCTAGACAAAAATCAATACCCCGCAGCCAGCTCTCCCATCTATGCCTTTTTGTGCTGGAAATGTTCATATTGACTCAAGTAATCAATAGATTCCGATTCTCGGCTAATTCCAGAATTCATGCAAACTCCATGCTGGTTTAGACAAGAAGTTACATTTTGCATCTCAAATTATATAAGTATTTTCAGGAAGAGAAAAAAAATACAGATTATATCTTATTTTCCACAAATAACCTTTTTTAAGTGACAATAAAAAGCTGTGTTTATAAGGCTCTAAAGGCAGAGAAATTGGACTAAATATCTGTAATAATGATCTTCTAAAGCATACCATTCTAAAGTATATTATTTTTCAGTATAAAAATTTCGTTATTTCACACCAACAAGAAATGGTTCATCTGAGAGGAGAAATGTACTCATCTCAAAATTAACAAATAACTTGTTTTCTTTTAGATTTCTTCTCTCTGCCTTCTAGTAATGGGAGCAATTATTTTGCAAACGCAGACCTTCGTGTTTACATTTTTCATCTTGGTTTGCCATTTCAGATGAAGTTGTTGTTTGTGGTTAGCTATTAGTTCCTGAATGAAGACAGGTGACAGACGCTAATAATCCTTCTGGCTGTTTTCAGGGTTAACTCAAGTGTGAATTGAGAGGGCGGTGGGGGCTGATGTCAGTAATCACCTTCAACATGCAAACTTGTATAAAGCTACAATTCACGTTAGACCTTTCTTTAGCAAAAAAGGGACTGTCCTGTACATTTCAGCAATTTTCCTTTATCACATACACTATCCAAGCTTTTGAAAAAAGTACAATCTATTCACGATCTTAAATTCAGTGTTTTTTTTTTTTTTTTTTACCACGCAGAGTTAAAATCACCAGCCTTCATCTCCATTACAAGAGTCTTTCAAAAGCAAAGGTACTCAGAACTCAATACTAGTAACCAGTTCACAGACGGTAATTTGTGAATGGTTTATGTAATGGAATATCTTGGTGATTCGGGGGAAAAGAGTTGAAATTTCCAGAAAATTGACATTTTGAGCACTATATAAAGGTTAAATGTTCACTGTGTAGCTTTAAGACACAGATCAATCTTCACTTTTTAAAGAAAATCATATTTTGGATTTATAAAAAGAATAAAGAAATAAGTTGGTATGAGTTGTAGGTTTCTTCGTTTCATCTTTTAACCAAAAGGGAAAAATATAAACA